CTCATCTTTTTTTATGCAAAGCTGTCAACTGGATTATACAATGACCAAACCAGTTTAGGATGATGGAGGGGCTATAGTCACTACAGCTGGTAAAAGAGCGACTATCTGGAGTTTTAAAAAATTACTCTCAAATCTCTTTCAGATATTCTTTGGCAAGCAAGAGCTGACATAGTAAAAGCTATAATTTTCTACAGGAAGCTCCAGAAAAACTGACAGAAGCAGGTGTGATCAATTTGTCGTACAGGAACTATGGACTTTAATATTAATTTTCATTAATTCAGAATGGAAAGTCACCAAACTAGATAAATTCTGAAATCACTGCCCCTTACTAGTTTAGCTGAGCAGACTGCTTAAAAATAAGACAATGTTTTTAAGGGAAGACACGGAGCCTCAAACGTGTCATGGCCCTAGTCACGCAAATAAGACCATTCCCTAGTCTTCCAGCCTCTCCTCCCACTGTCACTGCCAGGGGTGGGCATCCAGTTAGACTTCCTCATCCTTGTCCCCGGCCTATAACTTAGCTCTCTGCTTTCTGGCCTTTACCAAGACCACCACCCATCTCCTCTGCCTATGCTCCAAGGACCAGCACAAATCCCACCCCAACCAGAGGGAACTCTCTGCTCGACTCCACCAGCTCATTGTTATTTTGCTTCTTTGGTCCTAAACTTAGATAGCCATATGCCATTAATATATTCTTAGGTGTATGTGTCTACTCTCGAGGGCAGAAACTGCAAACTCCTAGCACAGGGCCTTGCATGCTGTTCCAAATACTTTATACATTTATTCTTGCGAAAAACGGAAGGTGAGGAAGAAGGGGAGGCAGAACAAGATGGCCTGCAGGGGGTGCTCTGAAAACAGTTGCTCTGGCTAAGAAAAAATAGAATGGAATTTGCATCTCCCAGAAAAAGCAAGAATCTATTTATTCCTTGTTCTTTTCACCACGAGTCAGATCTATCTGGGCTTGAAATTAGCCCTTTTACGTACATGGGAAGCCAGAGGAGCTAGGGGAGAACAAAAGCCTGAAGGTGGACAGATGACATTGTTGTTATGGAGGGCTTTTTCGGCTGTTGCTCAGTACTGTTCAATGCTGAGCTGGAAAAATAATAGTGCTGAAAATTACTCCACTAGCAGGAGTAAGGCAGAAATGCCCTTTCCATGTCTTTCTTCAGCTTAATGGATCCAAATTCCAGTTTTACCCTTAAGACTTGTTTCCATCATCTCCCAGCCTAGCAAGGAAGAGAAAGCTGAGAGTGCACCTGTTGGGACCCAAGAGGAAGGTGCCACAGAGGTGATGTGTCAGGCCATCCCTGGCTGCAGATGTTTAATGGACTCTCTTTTTTACTTGCATCTATCTTTGGTTTACATCTCTCTGCTTTACTCTGATTTGAGCCCTTAAAGGGCAAAGTATTCCTACTTGGGCAAAGGTCACCCCCAGAAATGGCAACCGGCAAGAAGCCAGGCAGGCAGAGGCAGGCTCGCTCTCCCTCCCCTCGCAGGAGCCCCCATCCTTTTCTTGTCTCCCCCCATCTTCCTCCTCCTTTCTCTCTTCCCACCTCAGCCATGTCTATTTCTCTGCCCTTTGTGTTTTCCCATTGTCTATGACTCTGTCCCTCCCTCTCCTCCCTGTTGGGGCTGTGTCTGTCTGTCTTCTTCCTCCATGCAAGTATGCATGTTGCTTCCTGTCTCTCTTCCCATTCTTGTTCTTTGTCTCCCTGGCTAATCTGTTGTGTGGCTTTTCTGTAGGACACCTGAACTAGGAGTCAGAAGACCTAGCTTCTGGTCCTGGCACTACCGCTAACTAGCTGTGTGATTATAGCTAAGTGACTTTGCATGTCTGGGCTTTGATTTCCTCCGTCATATAGTAGGTTGGACTGGATGCTCTTTCAGGTTCTCAGCAGCTCTGAGCTTTTATCGCTAAATGCAATGGAACTCAGCTGCCCCATGAAGCAGTTGCCATTTTAGAAACAGGAGAATCAGCTGGAGTCGTCAACAGCACAAGCACCAGGGGGCGCCCGAGCACCACTTACAGAGGCTGTGACCACAACACAGGGCGTACCATGTGCTGGGCAGGCTCTGTGCTAAGCACTGTATTCCTGTCTCATTCAGTCTGATGAGACAGGTACTCTTATTGTTCCTGTCTTAGAGGTGAAGACACTGAAACACCATGAGGTGAAGCAACTTGCTCAAGGTCACACAGACAAGACATGTCAGAACAGGACTTCCACTCGGGCTGTCTGACTCCCAGGCTCTTATCCACGGTTCTGCTTTGCCATAGCCACTCATGCTCCTCAAAGCTTCCCATGTAGGCTACGAAGCAAACATCTCTGGATCCAAGTGTGCTTAGGAGTCTTGGATCCAGACTGTATGGTTCAATTAATTCTCTCCTCCTTCAAGACACCAACTCCGACTTCTCACACCTCCGCCTATGACTGTTCCATCAGTACTCTAATGCCCTGCACATGGCTGGTATGCTCTGGTAGACCTGTTCTATTTTCAGATGTGTGCGTCTTGTGCCTTTCTAACTAACCAGGCATTGTGCCACCACCTAGGGCAGTGCTGGGCCCATGACAGAGGGCTATGGTTTCTACTCTCAAAGAGATGATGGAATAGATGAGACATGCACGCAAAATTTAAAAATAATGTAATGTAAAGTTGAAAGTATCATCAAAATTATACACACACACACATACACACACACACACACACACACACACACACACACACACATATATATATATAAAATAAACTGTGGAAGCATGGAACCAGGAAATTACTTGTCTAGTCTGATCCTGAAAACTAGGACAAGCTCATGTATGGTTGGGAGTCAGGAGACCAAAGACCAAGTCCTTCACTCTAACCTTCAGGTGTGTAAGTTCAGCACCCTCTAAACACAGCTCAGACACGTGAGGCACTAACGGTTGTTTGGGTATCAGGTGAACAATTGAGAACCATCACCAGGCTTGGTAGCCCTCATTTTTCCAGTTTTCCTCGCATCTGTCCCAGTGTCAGATACACAGTGGGTGAGCAGGTGTGACGATGGGTGAATGAAGTCATGCTCCCAGAAGTCATATTCACATATCCTGAAAAGGACAGTGGAATTAACCATCCTGGGAAATTCCATTCTCATGGAACAACCAAGCCCCCATCACACCCACCTCAGAATCTTCTGCTTGCTTTCACACAGTGCCAACAATGTGATAAACCGACAGGGTCTTAATTCTAGAAAGGCTCTTGTTTTTACGAACATGATGTAGAATAGCCACAGGTGTAGTTTTATTATACTTTTTCTTAGCTTTAGTTCAGATGGCATGGCGGCCACAGAAAAGTCTGATAACATCAGTTCCCCAATAGTCTGAGTCCAGAATGCCACCCTCCTCGTGGGGAGGCCTTTCACCCACCCTCCCTGCTGCCCCTCTGCAGCTCTCCAGAGCCCATCCTAGGACAGCAGCCATAGAAACAGCAGGAGGGCGAAGAGGATGCCACAGATGCTGCGCAATCCATGGCTCAGATCATCTCTGCGAGCCACGGAGAGTTCACCGAAACCGCAATGCCCCTTCTTTGTGTCTTCCGAGGCTGGTGCCACACTCTGTCTCGATCACAGACACCCCCCATGCTCTCCGATGCTCAGGGATGATATATTTATCTGGAAGGCTCCAGATGGCAGGAGTGGGCAAGTGATTCCTTTGCTTTATCATTTCTGGCAGGCCCCACAGGGTTTCAAAGCTGGGGCCAGCACATTAGCAGCGCCCATCTCTTCTGGGGCTGAGGTGTCACCTCTGAAGACTTAATAGATGCCCCAGTCAGGAGGGGGTGCTGCAAAGGAGTTAGGGCAGCCTGAGAAGGCGGGACATACCTGAAGGCCCATCTACCCTGGACTGACTGCACAGCCAGCCCCTCCCAGAGGGTATCACAGAAAGTGACGAGGATGCCCCACCTACCTCCCCCCTGCCTGCCTCAGGCACCCAGCACCAGGAGCCCCTCCCAACGATAACTGTGAAGGGAACCAACACCCCAAACACATGCACAGTTGGCTCTCAACTTTCCATGCATATTTGACTACGCTTTTGGGTCATACCTGGTCAACAGCACAGAAAAATTAAAGGAGAGTAAATCATTATTTTATATATATAATCCTCAAATTATATGGTGGCCACAGAAAAGTCTGATAATGGGTGTTTGAGCACAAGTGTTCCCACCCTGCCTCCCACAGAGAAAAAGGGTGAGGACACTAAGCCTCAATCTCAGTCCCCAGCTCCCAGCAAACTCCCCACCGCCACCAGTATATCAGTCCTCTAAGCAAAGCTCCCAAGGTCCCCAAGGAGACAGAAACAGAGAAAGTACAAGGGGAAAAGAATGGGTTACTTCATCTGCAATGGCATTTGTGACAATGTTGTCCTTTTATGTTCAGAAACATAACTGTTTCTTTATTATTTGTGGTAAGGGAAAAAGCCATGACTGGTATAAACAATGCAAACAAAACAAAACAAAACATAACAAAACAGATAAAGCCAGAAATAACCTCTAATCATAGAGCATTTAGTGAACAACAGCCTATGTTTAAATCTGGTTTCCCAGGTTCAACCTTGCCAAGGAATCCGCTAAAAGTCCCTGTGCCCTACTCTACCCCTTCTCTGGCAGGCCACCTGCACCCCCGATTGAGAAGGGAGTTCGCTTTATGAGGATCCACCCCCCAGAGTGCTCAGATAACCCTCATCTGTCACATGACTGCGAGGAATTGCTATGCCTGAGACTGAGTCTCCCTCTCCAACACCACATGGACAGAAGGCCCAGTCTATGAAGCCACTTAGGCAAGAGGCATGCGATCAACAAGTTCAGTTTTTATTTTGTTTTGTCGGTGGGGTTTGGGGGAATATCTGGGGGCTAAGTTGCCATCTTCCCTCTATCAATCCAGGCTTTCCCAGGCCTGGTCCCCTAGGTCAGGGACCTGATCAGTCTGCCTCCTGGGCTGGATGACGGGTGAGGGGAGCAGAGCCTGTTACCTGCTGCACATCCTGCTGGAAGACGCAGAGCTGCAGCCGCTGGTGGAGCCGCACCTTGCGGTGCTGCCAGATGCTCTCGAGGCGTCGCTGGTGGTGCAGCACCTCATGCACCACGTCCAGCACCTGGTGCACGGCCTTGGAGTAGTTGGCTGTGGCCGTGAGGGACTCGGAGTTCCCAGGACTGAGGGGACGCTGCAGCACATCCAGCAGTGCCTTGCCATCCTGGCTGACCTGCAGGAAGGAAAGAAGGTTAGGGCACGGGACAAGAGTGGCAGGCAGGGCACAGAGAGACAGGGGGTCTGCCCAGGGGTCCCCAGTTAGGCCTGCCTGAGAATCTCAGTCCTTTCTAGACCCATGGCCACCGAGGAATGTGCCACCTGGCCAGAGCTGCTGTGGTGTCCCACCTGCAGCTGGGGGGGGGAGGGCGGAGCATCCGGAATCCTGGGGAGAGTTGCTGCTGGAGACTGGCCAGCTGTCTGTGAGACTCTGTCCCCTCTTGAATTTCAGCTCCATGAGGGCAGGGACTCTGCCTTGCTCACTGTTCTCTCCCCAGCACCCAGAACAGTGCCTGGTACATAGTAGGCACTTGATAAATACTTTCACTGACTCACTGACTAGGTCAGGCAGCAGAACTTCATTTCAAAAATGAAGTCAAATCTCAGTTGCCACCATAGTCCTCTCCCACTATTTCTTTCTCAACTTCTCCAATCTGGCTCCAAACTTCTAGAAGTGTGACCAGAGGCAAGTTACTAAGCCTCTCTGGGCCTTGGTTTCCTTGCCTTTTACAAGAAGAATAATTACGGTACATACTTTTACATACTGTAAAATTATCCTTTTACAAGAAGGATAATTATGGTACATACTTCATAAAGTTGTGGTGAGGATTAAATGAGTTAACACACATAGAGTGCTTAGAATAGGGCCTAGCACATAGTACTGGCTACCAATTTTATCATCATCATCATCATTTCTCTCTCCCGTCTTCTTTATTTCCTTGTCAATTTCTTTTATCTTTATCTTTTTTAAAAATCTTTTTCTCTCCCTCTATGCTACCCTTTTCTTTCTCCTGAAAATCAATGACCTTCCCATTTTTCTAGAACACGTAGAATAAGGTAGGGACCCTTAGACTGTGGACACACCAACCATGCTCCTGGGTTCCCTAACAGCTGCCCTCAGTCTGAGAGCAGTGGGGTGACCTTCCCTGCCCGTTCCTCTCACTGGAATCTTGGCACCATCCTGGGCACCAATAATTGTGGACAGTGGCATCACATGGTTGATACCTGTGGCCTTCCAGTGCTTGGCAGGGTACCCCACAGAACTGCATCTTTCCAATTTAAAACAGTGGTAGCTGGGGAACTGACAGGAATTTTAAGTTCCCAAATCGATTTGTTTAATAACTAAATCAGAGTTGGTTTGAAGCAGAAATGGTCGTCTTTTCCTACCAGCAAGGCAGGGAAGGAGATGTGTTTCCATGCCCACCCCATGGAGACGAATGGGGAGCTGTCTGCTGGGCTTGCAGCCTCCCCTCATCCCTCCTTCCATCACGTAATAGCCCAGCTGGGGGCTAGGAACACGGAGGCACCTGGTACTCTTGCTCCTGGGGCAGAGAAATGCTCTTGGGGCTGGGGGTGGTTAAGAGGAGTGCTGGGGCAGGGTGTAGCCGAGGCAGGGAGGAAACCACCACTCCTCACCCAATCTCACCATCCCCAGCTCCCATAGTTTACTGCCGGGGGAGGGGGAGGATAGAAGTAATGTCCTCCAGAGATGTGAACAAGACAAATATTCCACGGCCAAACCCAGGAGAGTTCTCCTCAGGGAATCCTGAGCAAATGCTGTCTTGTGGCACTATGCCATGTCTATGGGAGGGTGGTTAGGAATGGAGGACCAAGTCCTAGAAATCCAAGTCAACACGAGTCCTCTGCCTCAGTCTTCACATCTGTTGGAGGGCAGGGATGGCCCACTGACCTCTGAAGTGGGCCTGGAGGGAACGTCTTAAGTCTCACAATGCTAGGGCCTGAGAATTCATTGGGAGAAATATTGCGTCTGTATGTATAATTACACCCACACCTCACAAGTGCAAAACATGTAAGTATAGTATTAATCTCATTTGTACTCTCTTTTTTTTAATTTACAAGCAGTAAATTTAGAGATCCTTGACCCGTGGGCAGAAGCACAGTTCTGTTATAAGAGAGAAAGCCTTAGGCCATTTGGATCAGAGCTGACGAGATCAGGTTTGACTCACAAGCCCTCCTCTCTGCCTCCTACAATGACAAAGTCTGTTATAATTTTTTAGTACTGTCAGGCGCTGGGCCAAGTGCATTACATCCATTATCTTTATAACCCTTAACACTACCCTATGAGGCAGGTATTACCACCTTCGTTTCACAGAAGAATGAAACGGTTAAGAGTGGTTAAGTCACTTGCCTGAGGTCACACAGCTAGTAAGTAGGAGAGTCAAGAATCAAACTCAGTTTTGACTGTGGCAAAACCCTTACTCTTACTCTGAAGCCATTGGTTCTTAGACTTCAATATGCATCAAACTCACCTGGGGCAATAGTTGTTAAAATGTACACGTATTGACGTTCTGATTCAGTCTGGGATGGAACACAGGAATCTGCATCTTTAACCATCATCTCAGGTGAGTCTGATGAATGTGGTCCAGGAACCCACTTTAACAAACACTCCTTTAACTGACCTTGACTCAGAAGAAACGCATCGCCCAGATGTGAATTCAGTTTCCCCTCCACAGCCACCTTCCTTAATCAGCTCATCTCTTTCCATCCCTCAGCCCCTTTCCCTGAAAATGCATGCCCGGGGGCCGCCTACTTACTGGTGTCTGTCCCACAGACACACCTGTATGGCTCTTTCCTTTTACTTTGAAAGGACTGTCAAGAGGTTTTCTTCCCCTTCTCAACTTTGCACTCCCTCCCCCAACCTTTGATTTTTCAGTGGAGGAGCCTTTTAGTTTGTCCTTCACATCCACGGCAGCTTCTCACCCCTGCAAACACTTATCTCTACCCTGTGTGCTTTCCTCTGGGTCTTCTAGTGAGAAATCAGTATTTTTTGATGAGCTGCTCCATAATAGGGTGGCAGGCTAGTGTGTCCATTCACCAACCAGAAAGCAAACTCCAGAAAAGCACAGCTTTGTTTTCTTATATTCCTCTCCCTGGAGGAGAAAGTCTAATCTTCACATACAGGGTAAAGCAGATAGATGTGTAGCCACATGTACATGCGTGTAAAAGAAAGGGTAAGAGAGAGGGAGAGAGAGAGAATATGAATGTGTGTGTGCACCAAGGTAGCACCTGCTAATGGCCCCAATTTTTTTCTGTTTCCTGGCTGGAGACACCATAGTTCATAGATCAAGGTTCCTAAAGCTGGAGAGAAATGGCCTCTCTTCTTCTTAGTCCAGCGTGGGCCGTTTCACAGTGTGCAGGCCAGTGCTCTCACCACCCACCCACGTGCAGACACGCCCAGTGCCCCTGCTGCCCTGCTCGGTTCTCACCTCTGTGTAGGCCTGGGTCACCTGCTCGTACAAGGACTGGTGGTGGTGGATCGCCAGCTCCAGGTCCTGCATCTCGGACGGCAGGCCGCCTTCACTGCACATCTTGCACCAGGCGTCCACTCCCGACAGGAACTGGAAGGAGATGCCGGGTGGGTCAGTGTGGGAGCACTGGGGGCGGGGAATGAATGGGTTATGGAGAGAGGGTCAGATACCTTGGGAAGAAACATTGGGACTTCTGGAAGCCTTCAGATGCCACTGCAGGGAGTAGAGTTTCTCTTTAATTCTACAAACCCTTAGTAAGAAATCAGACCTGGGTACCTGTTTAGGAAGTGTAGTTTCCACAAAGAGGACTATTATGAAACTGGGGGAGGGGGGAACAGCGTGAGTTGTCTGGATGTCCAACAGGTTGTACCCACACATCCACTGTTAAGTGCAGGTGCAGACACAGCTCACTGCATTCCATGGATACATCAGGGCTTCCTGCCCGCTGCACACTCACAGGCATGGGTGCTTTGCAGGGTATACGATGAGTTTGTGAGAAGGAGCGAAGAGCACCTCACACAGGCCCACCAGAACCCCCAGGGAACGTGCAGAGAGCATTCCCACAGGGAATGGAGATTGAGCTCGACAGCGCTTGGACTGTTGGGTCAGCGCCCTGAAGGGCGGAGCAGGAGGGGCAGCCTAGGGGGACAGACTGTGCCGCACCTACAGTGGCAGTGGCTCCTGGGATGAGAAGTGATTTATAAATATGAATTTTGACAGACATCAAATTATTTAAAAATTAAAATTAACAACTGTAGAAGACTGTGGCTCTCCATGCACAAAGGGTGAGCTAACTGAAATCATTCAGATTTATTAGGTGGAAAAATGCACCTCTAAAATGCAAATAATTCTTCACCCAACAGTCTGGAATGGTTCTGTCTGTGATTTCTCTCGCCTGGGTGCACAGCTCCATTTAAATTAATTGCCTAAATACCTTTTCATCCCATTGCCGAGAATAGCCCATATGAGGACAATAAAGAGCTGCCTAGATAAACGCATATAAAAAAATAGCCTTGCATCAGTTTTTTTTCCCCCAGTTAAAAAGAAGCATGGTTTATGAGTAAGTCCTGAAGGACTGGTAATATCTGAGGAAATCGCATTAAAAACCAGATACAAATAAAATTTCTTCTGATCCAAACCAATCCGAGTCAGGAAACATGAAATAAAACTTAGCCCCTCCAGTCACTCTCAGTTCTGGCCCTGCATTCCTTCTGCTTCAGTTCTAGTCTTGGTGCCACTGTCAGTTGTCAGCCCCTGGCCTGCTGGCTGCAATGGCTGAGCTTTCATTCTGTATGTTTTGACCACATTCAGCCATTTCCTAGCAATTCTGGAAAATGCCATCCAATATCAGGTTACATGTATTTGCTGACATCTCAGAACCTTCTTTGCTCCACCGATAACTACTTTAAAAAGGAATCTGAAAGCAACTTGATAATCTGTGTCAACCATAGGGGAAGAAAGGCCAGGCACAGTGGCTCACACCTGTAATCCCGGCACTTTGAGAGGCCAAGGCAGGAGGATCACTTGTGGCCAGGAATTCAAGACCATCTGGGGCAGCATGGTGAGAACCCGTCTCCACAAAAAATTTAAAAATTAGCTGGGCATGGTGGCATGCACCTGTAGTCTCAGCTACTCGGGAGGCTGAAGCAGGTAGAACCCAGGAGTTCGAGGTTACAGTGAGCTATGATCCTGCCACTGCACTCCAGCCTGGGTGACGGAGTGAGACCTTGTTTCTAAAAAATTTTTTTTATTAAAAAAAAAAAAATCACAGGGGGAGCACTCTATCAGGAGTCCTGTTGCAGATCCTACAGAATGGTCAGCTCAGAGAAGAAGTCAGAGAGACAGGGAAGTACTGAATTTTCCTTGCCAATCTGGATAAACCTTGAATAAAGTATGCAAGAGATAGGGTTGAAGAGAGAGAACAGGAAACTGGACATCAATATTCTCATGGTCCTAAGACTGAACCAGTCACTATCAGTCACAACAACCATTATCCTTTATTTTTTTTAAAAAAAAAAACTATGGCTAGATCCCTCTCAAAGTGTAGGGCTATGTTGACTGTGACAGAAGTATTTATTTCAGTCTCTGTGAAGTTCTCAGATGGAAATAGACACAGGTGAAAGAAATAAAAAGATACCAGGATGTTGAGCAAATACCCACAGTAGTAATCTACTATTCAGTAAGTGCACTGGGCACCTTATATGTTCCATCTCTAATGTTATATCCTTATAACGATTAGTCCCACATTAGAGACAAGAAACAATCTCAGAATGGTGAGGTGACTTGCCTAAGAGTTAATGAATGGTGGGGTTGTGATTATAACCCACATGTCTGGCCTCAAAGTCTAGACTCTTGATTATCCCATGTGTCTTTCCATGTTAGAGTTGACAACACAGGGAAATATTTATGGTATGATCACATGTCTGACTCTCCTTTACCTGTGAGTTACCAAAAAGTGACACAAAGAAAGAAATTTAGAGGTTAAAAACACAGGCTTTAATGTTAGACACACCTGGATTGAAACCCCAGCCACCCATAGATTGTGGGATTTTAGCCTTGGTGTCTTAGTAAATGTTTAACAACCAGCATATACATGTATGTGTGTATGTGAGTGTGTATATGTGTATGTATAAATTATGTATACACAGGTAAGTGCACTACAAATTTTACTGATATAAAGGATGTGGAACTCAATTTACAAAGAATAACAACATATACAGTGCTCTCCATTGTAAATTTCATATCGTGAACTGATTCCCACAGGGTGCCTTTGTTGGACTCTTGCATCCGTAGTCAACCTGTGGTTGAGATGGACAAACCTGCAGAGCTCTGACACCGATGCTGGTTGACATTTCACTCACGCTAAGGAGTAAGACAAAGTGAAACCCCCTGAAGACTTATTTCAGAACATTACTTGTTCGTCAATGATGTGAGTGATTTCTTTGCTCAATAATCACTTTTTAACATCGGAAGAATATTTTCTTGATTTTTGTGTGCTACTCAGTGTAACAGCTCCAGATGGGACACATATTTGTTAGTCTGAAGTTAAAAACATTTTCTCCCTCATTTTCTTAAGACTCTAGACAACCAAAATATAATAAATCAAGCCCTAGTTTGTAGCATTTGGTAATTCCATGGCATAAAACTCCTACCATGGTTTATTGTAAGCTACTAATGTGACATCACTGAATGTGGAGTTTGGAAGAGATGATCAGTAGCACACAACTGTACAGGATTTCCATGATAGGAAAAAAATAGATAAAAATAACCTCAAAAAAGTAAAATACAGTAAAATAATCAGGAATTGGTGAGTTTTGAGTATTTATTAACTTTGTTTTTAATATAACACAATTAATTATAAACTTATATAATTTGGTTTTAAGTAATGGCTATGTTTAACAACCAGCTCATAAAATTCTTGAAAATTCAACTGGCTTTCCATGAGCTGGTTCGAGCCAGGCTTTGACAATCATGGGATCTTAGGCAGGTCACTTAATCTCCCAGAGCTTCAGTGTTCCTCTCTGCAAAATGGGTTATTAATGTCACTGGCCAATGTCTGGCTACTTTGTAAGTAAACATCAACGTGTAATTATTATTTTAATGTGATATCATTATCACATTATTATCCATAGCAAATACTTCATGTCCAATTAGTTTCCCCATGCCCTCAGCACTCAATGATTTCTTTACGTTCACCCCTCTGGTCTGTGCTCAGAGAATGCACACTAAGCAGACAGTCAATACACACACACACTCTCGCAAGCACAGGCAGCCAACACCAACCACCAAGCAGAATGTAAACAGGCTCTGAGTCCCTCTTGCTCGTACAACAAGCAAAGCCAAGACTTACCAGTGTTTCTTTGTGTACACAGGGGCCGTGAAAGTGGTAGAATATGGGTTATTGCTGCAACTGTTCAGCAGGGTCTTCCGTGTTTCAAAGAGACAACAGGGGCTCTCTGTAGAGAGAGTGTGTGTGCTCCCACCCTGCCCCCTCACCCTTCACCCTTCCCACCACCAGCAGCTGCTGTAGGTTCCTGGGCCTCACCTGCTCGGCCTTCTGGTGGAACACGGCAGACATGGCGAGGATGGTGCTGCGCTCATCCAGGGCAGCGGCGAAGCTCTTCCACTCTTGGTCCAGCTGGGTGGAGATCTGCTTGATTTGCTGCGAGGCGTAATGGCCGGCCTCGGAAAGGCGGGAAGCCACAGACATGATGCGGTTGATGTTGACGTAGGCATTCTGGAAGCAAAGGAGAGTGAGTGCTTAGTGGGGCAGGCTGAAAAGGCATCCACTGAGCACTTTTACGGGTGCATATTTGGGGAAGGGGGCTACTCAAAACAGAAACTCTGAGAGAGGCTGGTATGGGCCATACTAGCATATCTGTTTTTGGTCCAAGGGAAGTCTTTCTCTATGACGTAAAATTTTGGCAGGTAGCAGGGACAATAACTGAGACCTTTCGTTATGGGGAATCAGCATAGATTTTGTGCCAACTATTAATGGAGTCACTTTACATGGACTATCTTATGTAATCCTCACAACCATCTCATGAGGTCATTCCAGGGGGATGGCACAGCACTTCCAAGAGCACCCTTTGGAAGCAAGGGCACCAGCTGAAGGAGGCGAAGACATCTCTCTTGCTCAGGAGAGAGAGCTGTTCCCAGGGCATTATTGCCACCTACACCAGGGCAGCAGTACTCACCAAAGAGGGCAAAGGAGACACAGTAATTCCACATCTTCCTGTCACCTAGCGAAGACATCCCTCTCTTCCTCCCAGCCCCCTGCCCCTGCCAAAAGAGCTGGGGCACCGGCCACCAGTCAGGGTTTAAATAAAGAGAGCTGTGAAGCTACACACTTATCCATGCTAAAAAAAAAAAAGGTCTATGGAATCCTTTTTTATCCCTGCCTGATTTAGGAACATTTCTCCACCTGACCCCAAAAGGCATCTGTGGGGGCTCTCTTGGTCCCACTGTCTCCTTTCATCTTGTGTTTTGTTTACATTCATTCCCACAGTTGCCTGCCAATTAAAAACTCATGAACATGTGTGTTGTTTCCTACTAGGCCAGCAAAAAACTCTCCAGGAAGAAATAAGACAAAAGAACCCCCTCCCCCAATAATCGCTTCTTGGCCTTTTGGCTAAGATCGAGTGTAAAGAAAAACCCCACAAATATAAGACAGTAGTGATTATGATTCTTTTAAACTGTTAGCTCCTATTAATTGTCTGAGGTGTCAAAACAATCAAGTAATATTGTGGCATCCACAGGTGGCTTTTCTGAATCACACAATACCAGCCAGAGGGAGGACTAGGGAGGCAGGTTACTCACACTTTCATTCTTTGTTACAAATCTTCTCAAATGATTATAAATATTCTTTAGCTACGGCATTTTCTCTGGGTTCTCTTAGCTCAGGTGCAGCTCATCAATACTGGGGAGGTTTAATGAAGGTTCTTTATTTTCCTCTCCCACTTCCCTCATGGTCCCATTCGTCTTAGCTGTCCCCAACCTCCATGTACTCCATCCCAAACCTGGGCCAGGCTGATAAGGTCTCTCTTAATTTAAACAGTCTCTGTGGACATTTAGAAGGTTAAGTGAAGTGCTTGAGTACAAATCCGTCCTGATGTCTAATGACCCCCAGGCATCATCTCTTTTTTTAGTCTGGCCTGAGACCTTTCTAACACAGTGCATTTCCTTAATAGAGCTACAACATATCTGACTCTTGTTATGTGAGATAACTATCCTTCAGAGATTTAGGAATCATTATCAGTGCTTTTCTGAGTTAGGACACAAATGCTACTTAAAATTAAACTCTATAGAACTGACAGAAAAACCAACTCTGCACCTAGAAGTGTAGGGAAAGAAGAGAAAGAGGAAAAACATGCACTGACTCTGTTTTGTCTTCTACAGAAGTAACATTGAGAATCCCCCCAACTTCCCACTCATGACATTGTGTTAGTTTGGGTTCTCCAGCAAAGCAGACTTTGAGACAGGAAGTGGGGCAGAGTGTGTATGTGAGCATGTTCCCAGGAAGCATAGTAAAGGAGAGAGGAAGTCAAAGAGGAGAAGGAGGGAAATGAATAAGGATGTGTTAATTAGTGGGTTAGTGCTATGAGCAACTGGGGCTCAATCCCTGCTAAGACCTCTTGAGAAACTCTATAAAACACACCTCTGAGCTGTCCCACTGAGAGGTGAGGAATCTGGGCTATTTATGCACCAACCTCCATTGCTCACTGGTTGAAGGTTCCTCCTGGGTAAGTCCCTGGCATTTCCAGCCTGACCCACACACAGGCCAAGCACACTCCCAAGGTCACAGTGACCATGGCAGAGAAATGCAGGAAGCTGTCAGTCTGTATGGAAATCACCAGCAGACGACCCCCAGGACAGGCCGAGGGGATATGCGTGGGACACTGACAGTATGTGATAGAACTGTCCTCCCAAACTGGATTCAAGTCCTGGAATCTAACACCCCCCCCTCCCACTCCAATAATCCAGATCTATCTAGGTTGTTGGGTTTTCCTATCCTGGAAAAAGGTCTTATGTACTTTGGCCAGACAGGATGCAAGAAGAGTGATAAGAACAAGGCATTACCCCGTCCCCAGGTACATCCTATGGACACCCAGAGCTTTGTCATCGCCACTTGTTTTCATTCTCCTCCCTCCCAGGGAACACAGGGAAGCATATTTCTGCTTACTTTTAGGAAGAACTTTCTAGCTATTAGAGATGTCCAACTGCGGCTGCCTCTGGAGACTGTTAACACCTTGTCACTTGTTCAAATATTTATGGAGAGTGGGCCAGGCTCTGTGCTGGGGGCTGTGGGAGATCAAAGAGGAATGAAGAGGGATTCCTGCCCACCCACCCCCTGCCCTCAAGGGCTCACAGCTGAGACTTAAGACAAGTCCTCCAATACCTGTAATTTAAAGCAAAATGAAGTAAGTGCTTCCACAGAGGCAGAAGCAAGTCCCTGTGGGGACTCAGAGGGAAGGGCTCTGAACCATCGGCGGGGATGCTGGGAAGGGGCTCCCCGCACAGAATGGGGCGGAGGGGCTGGCAGTCCTCCATGGACCCTTCAACCCTTAAGCCTGTGATCATAGATTAAAACTAAAATCAAATAAACAAAAAAGACCACAGCTTATGGTTTACATTCTAGACCAGCACAATAAATGCTTTCATGTTTCCTTATCAGCAGGCAGGGAAATGTCTTACTAAAACTAACAAATGATTATGCTTCACAAAAGAAATAGAGGCATTATTCCTCACAATAGAGGGATAAACAGAATGTTGACTCATGAATTTGCTCATTGTTCTTCCCTATAGCCCCTTTTCAGAATATCAAAACACTTCAGGCAAGTCACATTGTCCAAGTTCATCATCATCTTCTTCTTCTTCATTCTCCTTTACCCTAGAACCTGGGAGAATGGGCAGAGAGAGTGTGAACTGCAGTTGTCCCTGAACACAAGGACAGCCAGAACCCAAGTGAGAAGAGAGGCATGGCAGGGAAGGTCTCGACGTAAAAGGAAAGAGCGAGGTTAAAGAGCTGGATTAAGAGTCTGAATAAACAAAAGTGCTCAGTCATTAAACATAAATGGCATTTCATGGCCTTTGGTCAATCCACTGTGTGCTTCTTCTGGGTGGCTGTTTACACCTCTGGTAGGGAACATTTGGGAGTCATGTTTGTCCTTGGGGCCTGGCCAGCAGAAATGGATATTTGGCTCTTTGCAGCCTTTCCATTTCCCACCAGCTGCCCCTCCACTGTCTCCCATCTGCCCGGCTCTGCCATTCTCCCCTGCCAGCCTTACATGCCTCTCTATCTGCAGAGCTGCCCGCCAGTCAAGGGCATCAGAGTCACTGGGCCAGGGCTCAAGAGACATGAGTTCTGGTTCCAGCTTTGGCACTTGCTTAAGATGTCACTTGACTCCTCTGTGCTTCAGTTTCCTCATCTGTAAAATGAGGGAGTTGACCTAATGATCTCAGACATTTCTGAGTGTGTAGTGTCAGTTCCAGGAGAACAGGACAGTAGTGCTGCCTGCTCCAGAGGTGTAGGTAGCCCAGCCTCGCTGTCCATGCATCTCAGCATCTCCTGCCGGCTCTGCTCACTGCCCTGTAGTGTGAGGACCAAGGCTGGAGCCGGACCCTCTGAGTTCTTCCGCCTCCAGCTGACCAAGGGCCAGTTGTCCTTCTCCCTGCTCCTCTGCAGCCCGTTCCCCCCAGCTGTGCTGTCCAGACCATCCAGCTTCCCTGGCCAGAAGGTAATGATTTGTCTAATAATTCAGGCTTGATGAGTATCTTCTTAAATCCTTACATCAAAACAGCTTTATTAAATTTAAATCCCCATATATATGGCAGTGCCTCTATTATTATTATTCAAAATATGGCGTTTCTGAGATATAAACACAATCTACCCTGCAGAATGCAGTGCGCTCGCCGCATGGTCTGTTGCATCATCCACCCTTCCCTACCTCCTCTCAAAGCCTCTGCTCCCTTCATTTTGGTCACAAACAGGAAAAATAACTAAATTCCAGCAAAATCTCACTAACTCAAAAATCCTCTACACTGACACCTTTCTCCAATTTTGTTACCTACAAAGTTCTACTTTCTTGGTTCATTCCTAAAGTCATTAGCTGGCAATCACAGGATGGAGGGCCCCTCCTTCTGAGGCCTCGTCTCCTGCTGTGATGAACTGAAATCGATGCAGCACATTCTCCAGAGGGACGACTGCGCAGAATCGTGATGAAAGTTTTCAGCCCTGCCCAAAGGGCTCCCGCTCTGGACCTGGTTCCTAGTTTAGCCTTCCTGGCTACAAAAACATGCAAAGTTGCTTACAAAACAATGATAACTTTCTATTTAAAAACTCAGCTAAACCTCAGCTAACCTCTTTAAATGAGGTTTCTTACATGGTATACTCTGAAAGAGATACTGGTTCTTCCACAAATAACCATTTGATGCAAGCTATCATTTTGATAACCTTAGCTCTGTGTTGGGGCTGACTGTAAGAGAAGCTCATTGTCAAGAGTGTGTATTATTTGAATCCCATTCATTTCACTCCTAAAAGCACAGGCGAACTTTACAGTCCTGTGGTCATAGGTCCCCACCCTGAATCAGCAACTCTCTCTGTGGGTCATAAGAGATAACATAAAGCATCCAGCCAGGTGCCTGGCACATGACCAATAGTACAATGCATGTCACATGTTTTCTCTTTTCTGCTTCCAACCAACTGGCATTAACTCCCCAAGTTAATCACAAACCAAA